CAAGTCTGGAAAGACTTTTGTCTTTCTAATAATCTCAATATAATTGGTATTACAGAAACTAAAATCTCTAAGAATAACACAATTATTCAATTTCAAAAATCAAGAGCTTTTACTTACTTCTGGTCCTGTATAGACAGTGCCAAAGCTGGTGCAGCCATTATGATTCAAAACCAACTCAAACTATATATATACAATATTCTTACTTAACCTGAATATGCTATCGCTATTGATCTCTTTTTCAAATATGACTTCAAGTTTAGAATTATTAATATCTACCTCTCTTGTGACAACTCTCTACTTCATTTACAAACTCAAAATACTGTCATCCAGTAGATTCAGCAAGATACCTTCTTGAATATTTAGCCTATAATTATAGAAAACTTCAATACAACTAATAATAATATACTATCTTTATCTATTCTGTGAAAAAAGATGCTGCTGATATATCCCAGAAATGCTCCAAATTATTAGTTCAGGAAATTATCTAGTTTTTTGTTACGAGAAATTCCCAATTTTAATCAGATTTTTTTGGAAAAATTCCAGAAACTAATTTTGTTTTTTTTAGAAAAATCGAGCATTTTTCAGAATAATTAATAAAAACTTTCTTTTCAGAAATATTTTGAATACATTGCAACTTTTATTTTGCATTTATATTAAAAACCTGAATGTTTTCTGATGAATTTCAAATGTTTGTAAGATTATAAATCAGAATGTTTTATGAATAAAACTGCATATAACAGCATATATTGTAATTAAAAACCGCTATACAACTGGGTATTTCACAAATTTATTATCTATGAATATATAATAAATATTAATTATGTGATACACATGCATTATACATTAAAATAGCACTTTTCTCAGCAAAAAACTAACAATAAAATAGAAACTACAATGCTATTTACTTTCTATTTTCAAGTTCTTTTGGATTTAGTTTTCTTTGTTATTTGCTTCTTGGTTATATATACCATTACTACTTTTTTTTTACCTATATATTAAATTAGAAGTATAGTACAGTAAGATTTTAAAATAATAAAAAAGCTAAGTATTAATTATAATTTGATACCAAAATTATCTCTACTCTGTTGTACTTGCATTAATGGTTGATTACTAATGTCTGACAACTTTTTAAATACCTTTTTAGATCATGTAATAGATGCAGATAATTCAAATGAAGTGCTAATATTGGCTTCATCATTGTCAAATTTGACTTTCTTCTTGGTCTGTTTTTTAGTTGCATATTTCAAATTTGCCATTGCTACTTTTTTTTTTCTATTTATTAAATTATAAATATAGTACAGTAATCTTAAAATTATAAAAAAGCTAAGTATTAATTATAATTCAATACCAGAATTATTCCCAATCTGTTTTACTTGTTGATTACTATTACTGTATTATTATCTTCTAATAGTTCGGATTCAACATCTTCAGATTCATCAATATCAGATTCAATTTTTTTCTTTGCTTGCTTCTTAGCCATATGTTTTGAATTTGCTATTGCTGCCTTTTTTTCTATATATTAAATTATAATATAGTATAATAATCATAAAATAATAAAAAAAAGTTGAATATTAAATATAGTTTAATACCAGAATCACTCTCAGTTTGCTTTATGGTTGATTATTAA